CCCTCTCACCCCCACCCACCTAGGTCCTGCCTTCTCCCAGCTGCTGAGGGTCAGCCTGAGGTCACCTCTCCCCCTGAGCCTTCTTTCTGGGTTGCCCCAGCCATGCCAAGGGGTGCTGTCCTTGACTGTCTCTTCTCTGCCCCTCCCTCTCCCCAGTTCTGGCCCAGAAAAAGGCTGACAGAATCCAGATCCATCATAGGTGCTAAGCACCCCAGTGGAAAGGCCTTCCTGGCGGGGTGGCAGGGGGGCAGCATCCAGCTGGGAAGACCCCCATGTTGGTCTGAGTTCTTCAGGTAAATGCCAAGCATCCCTGCATGGGCATTCCTGCTCTGTAGGCCCAGCTCTCAATCAGAGTGCAGTGGGCAGGCAAGAGCTTGCCAGGTGAAAGCCTGCAGAGGTGAGGCTTACTGACTGGACTCCCTGCAGCCCCGCTGTGCGCCCTCAGAGGCGGGCATCCGGCAGGGTTTCAGGACCCTCCTTGGTCACACTTCCTTCCAGTCCAGGTCCATACCAGCTGGGAAAAAGACCTCCGCAGGGAGCACCGAAACGGTGACAGTCAGCTGCGAATGACATCTGGTGACAAGCCAGCAAGGAGGAAGGGAGGCGTGACATCAGAAAGAGGCGGCTCCCTAGGGCCAAAGCCTGGGGAGTCGGGGGGGGGGGGGGGGGGGGGGGGGGGGGGGGGGGGGGGTGGGATTGGAGACCTCAGTTAACCCTTCATCCCCAGCCTTCTGAATCTCTCTTTTAACACCACCCCGTGTGTGCTCAGCGGCTCAGTCATGTCCAACTCTGCAACCCCGTGGACTGCAGCCCACCAGGCTCTTCCGTCCATGGAATTTTCCAGGCAAGAACACTGGAGCGGGCTGCCATTTCCTCCTCCAGGGGACCTTCCCGACCCAGGGATGGAACCAACGTCTCTTGCATCTTCTGCATTGGCAGGCTGACAATTTACCGCAGCGCCACCTGGGAATAATTAAAATCATTGGTCTTCCTAGCCAGTGCCTGGCACATAGTAGGCCCACAGTAAATATTTGTTGGGTGGATGAATGAATGAATGAATGAGGGCAGGGCACTGTGTTATATTCATTCCATTCCTCAGCTCTTAACACAGGGCTAGGCACCTGAAAAAGACTCACTGGTAAAGACCCTGATGCTGGGAAAGATTGGGGGCAGGAGAAGGGGGTGACAGAGGCTGAGATGGTTGGATGGCATCACCCACTCAATGGACATGAGTTTGACCAAGCTATAGGAGGTGGTGAAGGACAGGGAAGCTTGGCGTGCTGCATCCATGGGGTCACAGAGAGCCAGGTACGCGCGAGCAACTGAACAACAGCTCCTGACTGGTGCTTGCGTGAATCCTGAAGCCATGAACCTTTTCAGAGAAGCAACAGCCCCCTAGACCACACGTTCGGAGAAAGGACATCCCACCCAGGCGCACAGTTGGTTTCCCCAAAGGGGCTCGGCTGTGAAGCGCGTGTTTATTACCATGTGGCAACTGTTCCCAGTGACACTGCTGCCTCTGCACACCCGCTCCTGGGGGCACACACTCCCTCAGCTCCTGTTTCACAACCACAGCTTCAGAGGCTGCGCTCTTGCCCCAGAGGAAGGCACATCTGCGACACTGAGAGGCGTGATGAGCAGAGGGGGGCACAGGGTGGCTTAGCCAAGGGGGACGCCCCTCAGGGCAGCCACAGGCTTTTAACTCGCTCAGCGTCTCTCGGCTCCTGTCTCCTAACGGATGGGCCGCCTGCAGCGGGGCCTCCTCTCTGCAGTCTTGGCACCGAGATCCAGGGGTCACGGCGGGACATGCCTCTTCCAGGGGCACCGGCAGAGCGGGAGGCCTGGACCTCCTGGCGGCTGGCGGCTGGCCGCTGGCAACGTGGCCGTCTGCCCCGGCCTCCCTCTGTCCGTGGTGCTGAGCGCGAATCTCCCAACAGAGGGCGCTAGAGCACAAAGCAAATCTCTCCTCTCCTGACCCCGGGGGACACCCCCGAGGTCAAAGGGCCCTGCGGTCCTCTGTGACCGCTAGTTTCTTTATCCCCGGGAGAGAGAAAGGATGTGGGTTATTATTACCTCCCACAGCCTGGCTTCCAAGGGGTTGGGCTCTGTTGGTTGGGGTAGGCCCTCCTTGTGGGGTTGAACAATAACGCTAAGAGTAGTAAGCCTTTGTGAAATCGCTCCTTTTATGCCAAGCTCCGTTCAAGCACACGATGTGTATAAACTCAATGAATCTTCACAATAGTGTACGGTGTGAGCACTATCATTGTCCCTATTTTACAGATAAGAAAACTGAGGCAGAGAGGCTGAGCCACTTGCCCAGTGCAACATGATAACAGGGCCAGATTTGATCCCACACAAAATGCAGAGTCAGAGCGCTTGAATACTCTTCCAGGCTAAGATACACAAATGTACACGTGATGTGTGCAGACATTTACACACGCACACTATCACACAGGCACATACAGGCCCTGGAAGCCACTATTCCGATGAGAAATGATATAAAAATAAAGCTTTCATAAGCCCAATGTGCTCTGCCTGTCTCATCGCGTTCAGTTCTCATGACAGCCCCCTGTGGCAGCTTGATCTAAGCCCAATTTACAGATAATAAACTGAGTCTCAGAGAAGTGAAAAAAATTACCCAGAGTGTACAAAGCCAGAGGAATGTTGGATTCGGAGGACAGGAATCCAGTGTGAGCTTTTCCCTGGCTCTGTCCCAAAGAGCCACACATGCTCTTTCTCCCTGTCGCTGTCTCTATCACACACACACTCACTCACACACACACTCACTCATGCAGCCCTCTGGCTCCTTCTTATCTTGCCCTCTGCCTCTCTGTGCTGGGAATTAACCATCCCTCAGGCTGCATCCCAGACAAGACCGAGGTTTTTTATTGTTTGTTTAAATTAAAAGCAGCTGAAAGTGATGCCTTAACATCAGTGACCCAAATCGATACAGAGTTGGCTGCTTGGAATTTAAGTCCAATGCTACATCCTTAACGGACCTCTGCCCCATCTGAACTCCAGCAGGTCTTTCCCCAGGGGGAGCCTGGAGGGCTTTCCGTGGGGATTCTAAGGCTGTGGGTGCTGAATGAACCTCAGCATCACAGGTCCGGAGAAAGAATCTGGACAATAAATGAAGGAGTCGGGACAGGAAGTTAAGTCCTGGGGACCAGTGTGGGAGTGGGGAGGGGGAGACAAGCGGACTGACCCTGGAGACCAGCGTTCCCTAAACTGGGCCCCACTAACCACTTGCTTTGTAAGTTTGGAATAAAGATGCCTCGAAAGAGGATTCAGAGGTTCAGTATATTTGAGAAATGCTGCATATTAGTTCATTCTCTGCATCTTGGAGATTTACAATTCACAGGAGCCTTTAAAGGCTGTGAGAAATCCTACAGAGTTTTTTGGTTTTATTTACTTGAAATTCAAGCTTCTTTGGCTTCAGAGCCCTCTTTGCATAAATACCTAGTCATATCGCACATTAAGAGTTTTGTAGATTATGGGATGGATGGAAGATGCTGCTCTGAATGGACACGTCTTCTGATCTCTTCCTGAATTATCATGGTAGTTGCAATAGGGATGATGGTGATGACAGCGACTGTGATAAGAGCAATAGCCACTGACAGCTGATGACAGTTTGAGTGCTTACTACATACTAGGCACTTTTCGAAATATCTTGCTTGTACTAACTCACTGAATCCTCTTCAATACTCTGAGAGGAAGGCTCTGTTTTTAATTCCATAGAATAGACAAACTGAGACAGAGACGGATGAGCCCCTCTTGCCTGAGGTCACATTGCTTTTATATATTTCTGAGATGGCAAGAAGCGACATGAAGAGAAGAACCATGTATTACTTGTGCCAGGGGGGTAGTAGCTGCTCAAGAAAATGTTGGATGGATGGAAGAATGGATGAACGGAAAGATGGATGGGTGGGAGAAAGATGGGATGGATGGTTGATGGATAGATGTGTGGATGTGAGCATATAGGCTGGATAGATGAACAAGTGGGTCGGTAGGTTGCGGGTGGATGCTGGGGGTGGAAGAACAGATGGAAAGATGGAAAGAAGGGTGGGTGGGTGATGGTGGGTGGGTATATGGACAGATGGATTAGGGAAAGGATTGATGGGTGGATGAGCACATGGATGGAGGAGTGGATGGATGAGTCAAGATTAGAAAGCATCATTAAGATTTGCACTTGTTCCTATATCATCGGATTTGCTAAAAATAAGAGGCTTGGGCTCACAGGTATTAGTCATAGTTAGAAGGTGGCGACAGAGGGTAACAGCAGCAGGAGGGAAAGCATGAGCTCTGGAGCTGGCCTGCCTGGACCCAAGTCCTGTCTGCAGCATCGGGCAATAACTGCTGGAGAGAGGGAAGGAGGCAGGGGGGGGGAGGGAGGAAGTGAGCTAGAAGGAAGGAAGAGAGGACTTACCGTGAGAACCCAAGCAACGTATTTAACCTCCCTGTCCTTATGTTTCCTCATCTGCAAAATGGGGTAGGAAGAAGTTACCTCTCCCACTGATTAATAAGACAGTGTTTCAGATGATGTAAGCACTCAGTAAATATTAACCGTAGCAATTATCCTCTGTAAGAAGCAACAGGATACTATAATTACCCTCTCTCTATCTCCTTTTCGTCCTTAGCTTCCTTCACTTTGCAGTGCAGAGGGGTGGATGAAGACTCCAGGGTCAAGATCTCAAGGGACTCAGCAGACCGCTGCCCTGACCACAAACCAAAGGCAAAGGCCAACGTGAGCAGGACCTGTAATCCACTCGTCTTTCATGGCGCTCTCCAATATTAGTCAGTGTGTTCCTGGCTTTGGGCTCTTGTCTCCATAGTTGTCAAGTCCTGCCTGGGATCTTAAGAGCACAATTTCCTCCTTTCCTCGCCAAACTGCAGTACCACCCAGAGACAACAGGTGGCGACATCCAATATGCGATTTGTTCTATTTTTACAACCTTTTAGGTGTGAGGGTCTGTATTACCTAAAACAAACCAGCTTCCTACTTCAAGAGTCCATTAAGCTTTAGCATATTCACAATGAGGCATGATGTCACAAACATATATACATAAAGTCCTTAGTTAGTCACAACTGTGTGATGGGTCCATAATACTATAGATGAGAAAATCGAGACCCAAAGCAAGATTGTCAGCTCCCTGCATGCTCATTATTTGAGGTGTTTGTAGTCTTCACGACACAGTGAAGTGATGGTCTCTTCAGTCAGTTCACCTGTGTCTTGTCTCCCCAGGTGATAATGGAAAGCTCTGGAAGCTCTGGGCACATTTCACATTGCCCCTGGGCACCTCCAGGACCACTGTGCTCAAGACTGGAGTCACAGTTACTGGAGGGGCCAGAAACAAAGAAGGAAGATCCAGCTAACCAGGTCAGTTGTTCCACCGGGAGTAAAACGGTGTCTGCAATGGAAATGCTCTAGTTAATTACAGAAGTCATCTGGTGAGACCTGACAATCCCCTCCTCTCACTGGCAGTCTGCTTTCTCTCTTGAGTTTCTAGGTCCTTGAAACATTTGAGGAAAATCTCAATTCAGCTTATACTACAGGGAGATAATTCCATTTCTCTGGGCTTCGGAGTTCCCATTTCTAAGAGGCAAAAGGCCAGGCTAGCTCCCCACGGCCCCTGACAGATGATGTCTCACCTGGGCTTGAGTCTACTTCCTCCTTCCTTGTCTTTCTCTCTCCCTTCCTGTGCCATGGGCGAAGCAGATGCCCCATCCTTAAATAAAGGCTTCCAATAGGTGCCCACCTCCTCTAAGGGCATCGAGGCCACACATGTGCCTCGGATTCGCCTCTGGATCAGGCGCTGATCTGGGTGCCAGGGAAACAGAGGCAGGAGGAGAGAGCCCGTGCCCTCGAGGGGCTCGCGGTCAGCAGGCTTTGGTTCGCCACCAGGAGGCCTGAATGCCAACGTCAGGGCTGCCCGCCTGCGTCTGCCCGCCTGGCCTCTTCGCTGTCAGGGTCCTGCCCTGCCCTCCTGCTCACTTAGCTTCCTTCCCAGATGGCTCCCCGGGCCCCCTGGCTCCTGCTGGGCCCCCACCCTCACCCCTTCAGCCTCTCACCAGAGGAAGGAGCGTCTCAGAACAGCCCACTGGACAGCTCCGCGGACCTGGTCCTGCACATAAAGCACGGCCCCCACTCACCGACACTGCAGGTCCCCCGGGCACACCATGGACCACAGCCCAGTCAGGACGGCCTCCTTAAAGCCCTCCACTGACTCTGTGGCCAGAAGACCAGAGCCACCGCCCTGGGAACAGCTGACAAGGGTCTTATCGCTGCACTGGAGCCACCTCTGGGCCGCTGTGCCCTGAAGAGCTCTCTTGATTCTAGGCATTTCTATGTGCTGTCCCCTCTGCCTGAAACCCCCCTCCATCCTCCCCATCTTGCTCACGCCCCTCTGCCTCACCCTGCCCCCACGTGCCCACGCACATCCTTTAGGCTGGCCGGCTCTTACTCACACCCCAGGGCTCAGGTTTAGCTATCGTCAGTTCTGGGAGTCTGCCTTAGATGCGTTCTCTGTGTTTGCCCCAGGGAGTTAGGAGTATGGTGGTGAGATGGGCAAAGCACAGGCAGGCGAAGGAAAGGAAGGAAGGAGGGAGAAAGGGATGCAGAGAGCCAGACGTCTAGAGCAAGGCTCAGCATCAGCAGCCAGAACAGAGTCAGGGTATCACCGAAAGGTTGCAACATCCAGAAAAGATGCTCAGCCTGTCCGGAATGATGGCCTTCACTTAGCACTGCCTTGAAAGGATCCCAGACAGAGGTGCTGGCTCTTGTTCCAAGACATGTGAGATCACCGAAGCCTCCTGACACCTTCCCTTAGGGGCAGAAGTGGTGCATGGTGGAACACTGGGCCCAGGAGGAGATGAGTAAGTCCATGAGATCTGCAGGCCGGCTCTCAGGGAGTGAGGTTCAGGGGTGTGTGCGAAGGGGCCCACACTGCCCTTCAGAGAGTACTGTCTCCTCGGGCAGGACCAGCTCTCCATCCCAGAGAGGATCAAAACTGCCCTGGGCGCCTGGAGACCACTCGTCTTCCTGCTTCCAAGTCTAACGCTTACTGATCAAGATAATTAAATCCCACCTCCTTCCAGCTGCCCCCTTGCAATGTCAGGAGGGACAGGAGCCTCTTCCAGAGAGCTTTGCTTGCCGCTGTTCGATAAGCCCCATATTTCACACCGCGAGTGGCTGCATTTCAGCGCTGGGTGAAGTGGTTTTATTTTTATCGTGCACGCAGGCATATAAATATGTACGAGGAGCTCAGAAGCACTTTAGGGTCTCTCTGGAAGGCAGGCTTGGTGTGAGTGTGAGGAAGCATGGCGATTAGCTCAACCAGGGCACAGGCTCCACGAGATCCGAAGGTGCAGCTCTCGCCGGCACCGCTGGGCCCGTTCTCCTTAGAACAGAGTCCTCGTGGGCTCCTGAGAACCAGGGGGTGCTTTGGCAAACTTTTCAGAACAAAATTTTTTAAAACAAGAACAGATCTAAGATCTCTCCTTAACTCCGCTACTTACAGCTGGTATGACCTTGACCAAAGACCCTTCTTGCTTCTCCTGGGTCTCAGCGTCGATGTCTATAAATGTGGGGTTAATCATGCCTGCCCTGTCAGCCTCCCCGGTCTTTTTGAAAGAACAAAAACCATGAAGAATTCGCAATGGGCTTGGAGAGCTGTAATATACAACTGCAAGAAGCTTATCATTATTCCTCCCCAGTCATTCATTTGGAGCAGGTTAGTGAAGGTACAAGACCATATCTGGTGTAGTACAGGCATTGGATGCTCTAGGCACTGCAGGCTGCCTCAGTCACCACGGGCCAGAGGTGGGAAGCAGCGTTTGTTGACCTGCTGCAGGGCTGGACGCTTCATGTGGATTACGGCATTTGGCCGTGACCATTGGCCGTGACCTTCGGCCGTGACCTTTGGAGGCAGGTGTGTCATTCCTGCTTATAGATGAGGAAGCTAACGCTCACCATGGCTGAGGAACGTGTGCGGGGCCACACTCTGGGGAGCAGAGGAGCCCGGCTTTGAGTGAGGGGTGAGACTCACCTTTCTTCTCGCGGCCACAAAGGAACCACAGCCTGTGGGTTGACCGCCGGCCACTGGGGATGGCCGGGACATTGGGGCTGGGGGATGAGCCACCAGCCCACGGCGTGGGCCTCTAAGCAGCCGCGTGGTGACGCTGGTGGGAGTGAGCCTGGGGCCCTCAAGGGGGCTGGTGAGGCTGTCTCCACCTCTGAAAGCTGGGTTCAGCCTCCCTTCATCAGGCACAGACGGAAGCAGAGAATGACTCCCATCTGCCGGGTCCCCCGAGTTGGAGAGAGAAATCAGAGGCTCGGGGCGGGGGGGGCGTGCCCAGGTGGAGAACGGATTTTGGAGCTCTGAGCGCTCTCTGAGGGTCACGCTCGGGGCCAGAGGGGGCAAAGGATGCTGAGCTGTGGCCTCTCGTCTCTTGAACTCACATCCCAGCCTGTGGGAGGATCAGGAAGGGATGCAGACTGCTCTCCCCCCAGGGGCCAAGCTGTCCCAGAGCCGCTAGAGAGTCAAGGGCTCGGGATCTCGGTTCTGCTGCTTTCATCTCCCCAAAGGCCCCACGGCCCCAGGTAGGGAGGCAGCAGCTGATGAGGAGATGCCCTGTGACTGTATCTTGAAGGTCAGAGGAGGTTCAACCCAGGAGGGCAAGTGCCAAGTTTAAGGGCCCAGAGACCAGGCTGGCATGGGACAAGGAAATCACCCAACACCTCCGACGTTTGGGCTTCCCTGGTGGTTCAGACGGTAAAGAATCAGCCTGCGATGTGGGAGACCCAGGTTTGATTCCTGGGTAGGGAAGATCCTTGGGAGAAGGGAGTGGCAAACCACTCCGGTATTCTTGCCTGGAGAACTCACAGACCGAGGAGCCTAGCTGGCTACAGTCCACGGGGTCGCAAAGAGGCGGACACGACTGAGCGACTAACACCCTCACCCGCGCACGACAGGGACTGTAGGGGCAGACCTCTGAGGCTGCGGAGGTCCCCGGACGCGGGAGCCGTGGCCGTGAGAAGGAAAGGGGCTTGGTGCGGGCCCAGCATGATGTAACTGATAGGAAAAGTCATCTTGATTTATAAGTGGACACTTAAGGGATGCCATCAGAGGGAGCCTGTGTGGAATCCCAGGGCTCAGAATCTGGAGGAGCAGGTTGGCAGTTGTTGGATCAGAAACCTGTTCTTTCCAGTTTGATTTTTTCTCTGTTTTCTTTCTAATTTATTTCTGTTTACAAGAAAGCTGGAAGCACCAGCCTCAGTCAGCTGTGGAAAGGAGGTGCATCTATACATGGGCTACTAAGAAAGAGGAGACAGTTGGCCAACTTGGTGGTAATAGAAGTGAAAGCTGGAGGACTCTCAGGAGGAGGTGGCACTCAGAGACCAAGGTCAGCTCTCACAGGGCCGTCCCTACTTGCTCAAGTGTTGTTTCCCGGGAAGGTTTCTCTGCTCCCCTCAGTCTCTCTCTTTAAATATTTTTAAATTATGGTAAGGTACACATAACATAAAATGTACCATCTTAACTATTTTTAACTCTTTGGTCCAGTAGTGAGTATATCATATTGTTGTGCAACCTATCTGCAGAGCTTTCTCATCTTGCAAAACTGAGACTCCGTCCCCATTGCCAGTGATCCTCATTCTCCCTTCCCCGCAGCCCATGGCAACCACCACTCTACTTTCTGCATCTTTGACTTGGACTAAGTCCTTCGTACATAATAGACATACAGTATTTGTCTATTAGTGACTGCTTGTTTCACCTAGCATAATGTCTCTAAGATTCACCCATGCTGTAGAATACAGTACAAGTTCCTTCCTTTTCAAAGCTGGATAATATTCCACTGCATGGGCAGACCACATTTTGTTTAGCAGTCATCTGTCAGTGGGCACTCACACCACTTCCGTCTTTTGGCAACTGTCAGTATTCCACTGTGCAGATGCTTTCCATTCTTTTGAATACATACCCAGAAGTAGAATCAATGGATTGCATGGTCAATTCTCTTTAAGGAGTGAGGCTTTGCTGGATATTGTCTGCCAGGCACTCCTGACTGCCTCTAAAGGTGGTGAGCATGGTCAGAGGGGCCGGAAGGCACCCGGGAGCCTGGGAGGCAGGGAACGCAACACCCTCATGCTTGCAGCGGACTGTGGCAGGTTCGCAGTCCTCTGCCCACAAGGGTCCTGTGTCTCCCGGGCCTCCTTGCAGGTGCAGAGTGAGCTGGAAAGAACCATGCCCAGAATGCTTGCAGACACCGGAAAGGGGTCCCACAAGCCCTTGGCAACTGCTGACAACTGCTAGGAGGCTGGAGACTTTAGGAAGGGGACTGGGATCCACACACTATAGTCCTGGTAGGTGTGTGTTGGCTGAATAAACAAAGGCAGTTCCAAAATTCTAGAAAGCGAGTTCCACGGAGCTTTTTGGCTCTTATGTTTCGGTGATGGAAGCTCAGTGGGCGAATGAACGAATGAAAATACAATGGCATCAGGTGGCTTTCTCTGTAAAAGAGGAATATCTGGAGGAGAAGAAAGGTCAGGAACATTCAACAGACTCTCCACGGACCCTGCATGGTGCAAAGCAAGCTCCTTGTCAGGCAGAGTTCGGGGACGGAGGGGGAGCAGGTGTGGTCCTGCCCAGGGCGGACAGAGGGAGGCAAGTCCACCACCGAGGGCATCGTGGGAAGAATTAAGTGTCAGGGAGAACCAGGAGTCGCCAGCAAGTGGGGCGATGGCCTCTGACACCTGTTCCGCAGCAGCCCCGGGCCAGGTGCTTTCTTAGAATGTGTTTCATTCAGCAACCCTGACAGTCAGGACCGCTGACTATTCCCACTGCACTCGGGGTGACTGGCCCAAGGCCACACACTGCGAAAGGCAGAAGAGAGGGCATGAATCCAGGCCTGGCTCCAGATGCCAAGTTTCTCCATCTCCACAAAAAGTGGCAGCCAGGGAGGGCTTCCTGGGGGAGGTGGCTTGGGCTATCATGAGCATGCACATCTTTTTCTAAAGGAGAAAAATGCTTTCCAGGTGGAGGGAGAAATACCAGGTTAAGCCCAGAGATAGAAAAAGGCAGGGAATGTTCAGGAAATCAGCAAATATTTATTCCAGTTGAACAGAGCAGCGTGTAAGGGAAATGATTGGGCCCAACCTTGAGCCTGAAGCCAAGTGTCCCAGATACCGTTGGGCAGTCAGGGCTAGAGACGGGAGAGCTCAGAGCTGTGCTTTACATGAAGCCATCTGGAGGCTGTGGGCAGGGGGCTGGGGGAGCTGAGCTTGCAGACAGAAAGGGAGCCGGGACCCAGCTGTAATCCTCCAGAAGAGGAACTGGTGTCCCCTGGCATGCTGATCTCCGGGGACAAAACTATGGCCAATCAAGCGTCCTCCTGGCCCTCATGGAGCTGACCATCATGGGGGGAAACAGACAGTAAACAGCTTAGCAACTAAACCAAAGTGATGACAGGTTGTGATCTGTACCAGGACGTAACGAAACAAGAGGATGTGAACAGTCACAATGGGAGCGTGGTGCAATCAGGGAAGGCTTCCTTGAAGAGGTGGCAATCTGGTGGGATAAGAAGGATCAGAAGAAGCTGGCACTGCCAAGAGCAGAGGAAGAAACGGGAGAGAAGCTTTGAGGGAGGAAGAATTTCAGGTGTTTCAGGAACTGGCTGGGGGTGCCCGGGGTGAGTGTGAGGAGATGAACTGCAAGAGGACAGGAGACAGGGTTAGGGGAATGGGTAGGAGCTGAGATTTTATTCCAGAGCAACAGAGGCCACTGGAGGATGCTCAGAGGGAGGATGACGTCACCTGATTTGCATGTTGAAAGACCTTGCTGGCGGCTTCGTGAAAAATGGGAAGGAGGGGAGTCTGGGGGGATGATGACACTGGTCAGGAGCCACCATCCGGGCCAAAGGGAGAGGTGCCAGGGCAGGGGGCGGGGGGCTAGAAATGGCTGGCGGTCGGGGGATGGGAACTGATTGAAGCTGATGGGCTCTGATTCTGGGAGAGCCACCACGAGTGAGAGGTCCCACTGGGAGGAAAGCTCTCTGTTTCAAAGGCAGGTGACAGGCGGGGATAAAGCCCTGCAAAGTTTGACCCTGGCAGCAAATCCAATTTCACACATCTCCTCCTGGGTAGCATTTGCCTTCTCTCTGACTGGGAGGTCAGAGCAAACCACTGCTGTGTAACCGCAGGCTTCTCAAGGGGGTGGGTGGGGGAAGGCTCTCCTGGGGGGATTATTCTGGGCTCAGCAAAACCCTGTCTGGGTGCTCAGAGGACGACAGTGGAGAGAGAGGACTCCCTCCCTGCCCAGCTCCTGCCCTGAGGGGAGCCCTACTGGTGTTCTGGACAAAAGTGCCAGGCGTTTCTCTAGGTGCTTGCGAAGAGGTGCGGTGAAGGAAAAGGGTGTGTCCCCTCTCCCAGCCCTTCCCCACGCCCCATCAGGCGTGCAGGTCCCAGCGGTGGAGGGCCAGCTCCCGGGGTCCGCACCTTGGTAATCTGCCCTTAATGTGAACTGGACCAAGTAATTTGCTTCTTGGGGACAGAACAGGCAAATGTGACGGGGTGCCACTTCCGAGACAGCATGTGTGCTCAGCCATTTCCAAGTCTTTTGTGACCTCACAGACTGTGGGCCACCTGGCTTCCCTGTCCGTGGAATTTTCCAGACTAGAATACTGGAGTGGGTTGCCATTTCCTCCTGCAGGGGATCTTCCCGACCCAGGGATCAAACTCCTGTCTACTGCATCTCCTCCTTTCGCAGGCGGATTCTTTTATCACCGAGCCACCTGGGAAACCCACCCCTGAGACTGGGTCACAGAACTGTGGCTTTGGTCTGGGTGGTGCTTCCTTCGGCCCCTCCCTCGCCCGCTCTGACGATGCCTGCCGTGTTGCCCGCTGCCCTTTGGCGAAGCTGCCGTGGGAAGGAACCACGGGAGGCCAACAGCAGGATGAGGGGTTGAGGTCTTGATCCAACAACCCACGAGGCGCTGAAGCTGCCAGCCCCCATGGGAGAGAGCTGGAGAGGCCCCAGGTGCCTCTCCAGCCGAGTCAGATGTGACTGCAGCCTCTGCCAATTAACCTGGGGGACACCCTGGGCCAGAGGCGCAGCTAAGCCATACCTGGAGTCCAGACTCCTGATTCAACAGTAAACGCTGCTGCTTGAAGCTCTTAAGTTTTGGGGTAATTGGCTACGTGGCAAAGGATGACGAATGCACTGGCGAACACTTTAGACACAATGAAGGATTTACCTGCACACGTCTTACAGGGTTGGTGCCATTACCCCATGTTACAGATATGAAAACTGAGGCTCAGAGAGGTTCACAGGCTCACCCAAGGCCATGCAGGTAAGAAGTGGCTGGGGAAAAAAATCAAACAGAAGCAGTTGGCTCCAGAGTCTGATGTTAAACACCACTCTGATGGGAGAGGTGCCACCCTCCCTGGGCAGTGCCTAGTCTGATGGGGAAGGACCCGCCCAACACCAGGGGCCTTGCTGTCCAGTCGGGGAGCTGGCTCTGCCAGCTTGCTCTGCATCCACTTTTAAATCACCCCGAAGGACCATCCAGAACCACCTTACCTTGTCCTGACTTTGGCGTGGTTTCCTCCTTTAAGCCTGACCTTTTGTGCCATTCCCTGATAGAGTCTCAAATGTCTTGGGCCTAATTCTGGATCCTGAACCCACGGTGTACCAGGCCTTTGCTAAACATGATACACGTCAGGCTACTTAGGAAACAGTCACTTTAAAGGTGAAGTAGTTAAGACCCAGAGATGTGAACTTCCATGTCGCATGGCCAGTAGTCAAAACCCACCTGACCCGCTGGGCTGTGCTTCCTCCCTGGTCCTGAGCCCGCCGGGTTTTGAAACTGCCTTGGATGTCACAACCCCCAACTGCAGGCCACTTGCATCCCTGGTGGAGCCTTGTGACCCGTGTGCCCTCCAGACTATGCCATGCCTGGGAGGCGCATGGTGGGAGGGGGGTCTCTCTGATGTCTCCAAAGTGCAGCATCTAGTGGGCTCCTAACACGTCTTTCTCTGGTGGGCAAACGAAAGAAAATCGCTCATGAGGTAGGCAGAGGGGGCATGATACCATGTTTGCCTTTTCCCCTTCCAAGCGAGGCTCCATCCTTTTGGACAAGTTGATGCTCTTGTAACGTGTCAGTCTATGGGACCATCACAATCACCCACTTTCCATTCCCCGAGGGGCAGGCAGGGAATCCATCTCCTTCTTTCGAATGTGAATCTTGAGCGGAAGAACAGACTGCCTAGAGAAGGCAGATGCTCTGCCCCGGCTTCCTGGTCACCCAGCCTGGCCCTGACATCCTCCCTGCTTGTAGCCAAATAGCCTCCTGCAGCCCCGGACCCCTGAGAACGGCCTGGCTGGCCTCTGCCTTCCTCACCAGGACTTTCCAACTGCAAGCCAGGCCTCTCACTACCTGGGCAGGGGCGGGGGAGGAGGTGGTGCGGCCTGACCCCCACCCCACGGGGCCTTGGGCTCAAGTTCAGGCAGCCCCCGCTGGCCCAGCCTGAGCCCCAGGGGCCAGTCCAGCAGGAGGAGAAGCCAGGAGCTGGGCTTTTCCCTCCGCTCCTGCGAGACGCACCACCCACACCCCATCTCCCTGGAAGTCTCAACTTTCTCCCTTTCTCCTGGTGTCTTCCCTGACCTACCCCCATCCCCCACCCCCAAAGAAGCCCGTGTGCTAATTAGGTAAGTAATAACATGGCAAGACTACGATTCCTCATTAGCTTGGGAGAGAGTCCTTGCTACATGACTGATAGGCGTCTACAAGGAAATTAACTCCGCTGCAAGGACTCCCTAATCAAGACTAATGAGGGGGTGGGGAGGTAGGAACTGGGGGCCTAGAACTTTCCAAGCATCTCCAAGGGCCGAGGGATCTGTACCACGTGGGGGTATTGGGGAATGGAGGTGGAGAGACAAGAGGTCCCAGAGCTAGCCTCAGAGTTCAAGGCTCCGTTCTGTCTGCTTTAGGCTAAGCCGCCCACAGAGTGAATCAGGAGATACAGCCCGTGGGGTACCAGGAGAACAGACACTAATATAAGCTGCAGTCCTTGCTTTTGAAGAGTTCACAATCCAATCAAGCAGATAATTACAGTGCAGGATGATGCGTGAGCTGACGCAGGGAATAGGCAGCTTTTATGAAGCACTTACTGTGCGTTTGGCAGCATCCTAAGTGGTCAACATGTATTCGTGTCTTTAATCCTTATGACACAGCTGTGACGGTGTCCAGTTGGCAGATGAGGAAGCTGAGACCTGGAGAAGTTAAGCAAGTCGGCTAAGGTCACAGAGCTAAAGAGATGCAGGGAGGATGTGAACCCCAGTTGTGCGACCTGGAACCCAAGCTTTTAAGCACCATCCTAGATCTCGTTGATGGGCACACTGGTGGTTGGCATGGGGAGTCTGGGGTGTGTTGAGAAGACAAGAAGGGGCCGCAGTGCTGCCCCGGCAACACGCAAGGTTGCAGGGGAGAGAGTCTGTGAGCTGGGCCTTGTCAGAGACACAGAATCTCCCTCCGTGGAGAGTTATTGATTGAATCTTTGACTTATTCATTCATTCATCCCACAAATAAGTGCCAGATCCCACAGGGAGCACCGCAAACACAGCGATGAACAAAATCAGACATGGAACATCCATGTAGATGGAGAGGCTGACATTGAATAAATAATCACACCACCAATTAGTCTACCCCAGGCCCAGGTCTAGCGTGGTCCTGCACTCTTGAGAGTGAGGCCCTCTTTAAAACTGTGCCCCAAATGCCTCAACCTGGCCCCAGCCCCCTGGCCCGACCCCTGGGAGCTATAGGGTGTTGAAACCACATCCCTGAGGCCAAACTCTGAGCCGAAGCTTAACCCGTAGCTAAATGTTTACATGGGTCAAGTGGGTCTCAGGCACCGCACCGCATCTTGCCTTCTGCCCTCTGAGTTGCCAGCTTCTTCATGCTGCTGGTCCAAGGCAAGAAAAGAGGCAAGACCAGTGAAACGGGTACCACTTTTCTCTTCCACGTGCCAGAAAGCATCCAACTTATCCCCAACTTGCCACAAGAAAGTGCCACTCCGATGGGATGGAGAGAACACCCCGATTAATCTTCTTAAAGAGGCTTTAGGAGTTCCTTTTTTCTCTTTTGTCTTTTCTCTCCCTGAAGTTGTTGTTTGGAATTGGAGGACTCGGAGCCAAGAGACCTCATGAAGCATCAGAAAGAGTCCCGTCAAGTGTGCGTCAAACCCTGTCCTTTCTCCCAGGTCCTCTGCGCTATGAAGATGCAGCATCCATGGGGTAACTGGCTGTCACAGTCCCCGTGTTAGTAGCGGGGCTCCATCTATGTCCATTCCCTCCCTTCCTTCTCCTAGGGCACCCATCCCAGGCGGTTTGCTTGGCTGGCCTACATCTCATTCGTCCACGTCTCTGCTTCCCACTTCTCAAGCCCTTTCTTGCAAAAGTCCAGGAAGGAGAACTGTGGTCTCTGGTGACCCATGGGGCCAGGAGTACGGTGGCGAGGGGAAGTATGGCAGGTTGCTTCTAAAACTGTTCCCAGTGAGGGACTTACCTTGCAGTCCAGCAGTAAAGACTCCATGCTTCCACTGCAGGGGCGGTGATGGGTTCAACCCCCGGCCCGGAGACTAAGATCCCACGTGCAGCCAAAACAAATGAATAAATAAAATTTCATTTAAAAAATCAGGGTGGTTAAAACGGTCCCCAATGGCTTCCATCTCCTGCTTCCGCAGGTGTAATCTCCTCCCCTTGACTGTGGGCTGGACCCAGTGCCGCTTCTTAGGAGCAGAATGGAGCAAACATGATGAGGTGTTGTTTCTGAGGTTAGGTTACCAAAGACTGTGACCTCTGTCTTGCAAGCGCGTTCTCTGGCCCCTCTCTGCTCGCTCTGATGAAGCCAACTGCTCTGTTGTGAGCTGCCCTAGAGAGGCCCACGTGGCAAGGAAGTGAGGGAGGCCCCCAGACAATAGCCCGTGAGGCACTGAGACCCTCAGTCCAAATATCTGTGCAGAACTGAATCCTGACCGTGCCCGCTGGTGTGAACTTAGACATAGAGCCAGCCCTCGCTGAGCCTTGAGGCGACACCACAGCCCCAGCTGACCTTCTCAGCCAGGGGCCCCGTCTAAGCTGCACCTGGCTTCCTGACCCACAGAAACTGATGTATTAAAAACATGCTGTCTGAAGCTTCTACGTCTTGAGATGGCTTGTTATATAGCAGTAAATAACTAATGCAGGGAGGGGACAGGGAAAGGAATCAGGACAAGTAGCAGAAGAAATCCGTAGGAGCACAGACCTTGAAGAACCTTAGCCATGCCTTGTGTAAGTGAGCACATTTATAGGTAAGAGAAGGTTAAAACATTCATTTGTCACTGAGCTGGGTCTGGTCAGATAAATGGACCTCGGGCCTTCTTTCTCTCTGTCTAGAACTCTTTCTGCTGGCATACAAACTGTTGAAGGTTGTCACTCAATTTCTTTGGGATTTAAAGTATGGATTTAGAAAGCACTTATATCTTTCGCTGAGGATGTGTTTAAATATGTTCCTTTTGTTTCAGGACCATATTACATTATACAGCCCTGGGGTGTAGGTCAGCGAGTGGTGAATCTGAGCTATTTCTTTACAAGAGGATATTTTCAAAGTCCTGTTTATAGCTCACTGGGTGACCTTGAGGGTCAGTTGATGGGCCAGGAACAAATTCATAATGCACATTTTTCCTTTCATCCTTCCAGGCGAAAGGCTCGGGTTTCCATGAGCTTTTGTTTTGACTTCAGACTGAGGCCTATTCATTATTAACCTACTCAGTGAGTGATTAACAGACCACCAGCTCAGGCCTGAGATTCATCTGTCTCTGAAGGGGCCTGGCTGCCTCACACACTTGACAATATCACACAGCTCCCACTGCGCACACGCTCAAGCAGACGGTGTCGATTCCCCCATTCCCGAGCGGAGGGACGCCCTGTTATCAGCGAGTCAGCAGGGTGGTCCTGAGTACGCTGTGATTTTCAATTGCTTCTCTCCTTGCTTTGTAATTAGCGGTGCCTTCCTGTTTAACTGCACCATTTATCAATTTAGTTTGGTGGGGGGAGTGGTTTGGTTAATTTTACAATGTTCTGGTTAACCCTACTATATTTTCAAGCGTGAATGTGTTGCAGTTTAAAAGGAGCCGTCATGTGTCCCTGACCAAGCAAATGTATGGAATTGCGTGATGGTGGTGTTTTACTGGTAGCACTTCTGCATATTTTTCAGTTGCAAAGTGGAACCTTTGGTCCTATGGCTTTTGTCCCACTGAAGTAATCCTGGTACCAAAGAGTCTGAGAGCATGTAATGGCTTAGTTATCCTGCTTAGGTTCTGGCCCATGTCTCCAGATGAAATTGGATGCACATTTTCCATGCAAAGACTCAGCAAGATTTGAGTCCTGCCCACCCCTCTAACTCTAGCTTCATCCTCCACCTGTTCCATGAACCTTCTTATGGGTCGCATTTTTCCCTCCAGTCAAATTCACGTGCTGAAATCCTAACAACCCCAGTGCCTCCGAATGTGACTTCATTTGAAGACAAGCTCTTTAAAGAGGCCATAAAGTTAAAATGAGATCATTAGGGTGAACTCTAATCCAAAGCAACTGGTGTCCTTATAGGAAGAGAAAACTTGAACCCAGACACACACTGGGGGAAGACCTTGTGAAGATGCAGGAGGAAGGTGACCACCCACAAGCCGAGAAGGGAGGCCTCAGAAGAAACCAAACATGCCGACACCCTGATCTCAGGCTTCTAGCCTCCAAAACTGTGAAGAGGTACGCTTCTGTCATTTAAGCCACTCAATCTGTGATACTCTTTTAGGGCAGTCCAAGCACATAGCCTCTGCGTGGTCCCGCACACAGTGGGCTGCTCAGCGGTCAGGGAGCACAGTAGGGCTTCACTCCAGTAGGACGTTTCAGGCTTGAACCCCGGCTCTGCTGATTATTAGCTCCTTCAAGTCACTTGACCTCGAGCAAGTTCCTAGTGTCTCTCTGCCTCTATTTCCCATCTATGAAGCAATAAAGCGCCTGCCTCATAGGGCTGTCTAAGTTAAATTAATAAGTAGTATGTAAGCGTTGGCATTATCATTCATTTGAAGAGTGTTATCATGAATTATCATTCATTCTTTTGAGGACCCACTATTGCCAGGCATTGTACTCAGTGCTGAAATATCATGGGGAACAAAATAGCTTGGTAGACCAGTTGACCACTTTTGATTTTTTATATATATATATATAAAATATATATATATAAAATAAAAAAATATATAGGGTTTTTTGGGGGGTGGAGGTGAAGTGAGTAAAGTCACTTAGTCATGTCCAACTCTTTGCAACCCCATGGACTGTAGTCATATATATATTCCCCCCACCCCCCACCTCTTTCTCTCTATTTGGAATATCTTACTTATCTCTCCCAGCTATCACTCTTTTTAACTTATTTATTTGGGAGGATTGTCTCGTCTCCTTTGGGCTGGCCCCTCCTCTGGCTCCTATAGTGTCCCATATCAACTTCTGACAGCCTTACCACCTTGAATTGGCTCCCACTGGCCAGGGCAGGAACTCAGTGGTGCTCATCTTGGAGCCCCCGGCCCTCAGCCCAGCGCCAGTGGCTTGGCAGAGTGTCCAACACATCACTCTCACACTAACCTGGAAGAGTCGTTTCTTGTCACTGTCAGCTATCACTGCTCATCCTTGGGCTGTTTTGCCGATCTGTCCTCATCATCACTATTCGGAGTCTTTGCTGGGCCCCTGCTAGCTGGACTGTGGCGCCTGGCAGAGTGGGCCCAGTCCTCAGCTTAATCCAACGCAAGTCAGCTGAGCAGACGCTGACAGCCATGCAGCTAAGATCCAGGTAAGACCGAGTTGTGAAGATAGAATGGGAGTTCAGAAGCCATCCTATTCGTCTCCGTGCCCACAAAGAATCCCTCCAGTGTCCTTACCAGGCGGTCGGCCAGCCTCTGTCTGCTGCCTGCCCACTGCACACGACCACCAAGTTAGTTCATCCCATTCTTGGTGGCCCCAAATGTCCACCTCTTCTTCTTCACCCTGTTCTCAAAGATATCATGGTGAATTGCAGGTGTGTGTCAGGGGACCCCAGTCGAACCTAACTCTACCTATATCAGTGGATGTCACTTACTTAATGTCTGTGTTTGACTCTTCATGTTTAGTCTTTGTAATATCTATGGGATGAACCTTATTATCCCTATTTTACAGATAGGAAAAATCAGGCCCCAAATGGGCTCAGTCTGAGGAAGCTACCCACCGAAGTCACACCACTGATAGGTGGTGGGATGGGGTTGGTCCCCTGTTTGGCTGACCCCCACATACGGGCTCTGGGGGGTCTCCCATACTGTCTCCCGTATCGCCCTCAACCTCCAGGGGTGATGGAGGCTGGCTCCACATTTGTAGGTGGCTGGAGGGGCCCATTTCCCAAACTGAGGGCTGATAGCTGGGCAGGAAATGGGGGCCCCGCTATTGCAGGGGCCCTGCCCGCTCTCCAGGGGCCGCGTGAGAGGCCATTCCTCCCGTCCGCCACCAACACCCGGAATAAGGCCCTGCCCTCTGCACGCGCCCAGCTCCCGATAGTCTCCTGGGCTAGTGTCTCAGTGCGCACTTGGCTGAGTTTACAAATTCACACTCTGTTTCTGGCAGGGTCTCTGGATGCAGACCCTGAGGTCCCCCTCTCGGGGCCAGTTGAGACTCGGCCATCAGCACTGTTTTCCATCTTCCAGTGCCCTACAGAGGGAATTTCAGAGTCCCTGGGGAAAGTGGTGTCACGGCAAGTGACCGAAGGTCTAGGAACACGCAGAGGCCCCTGGGCTGGTGTGAAACTGGGGACAGATGGCCAGCAGGAAGGACTTTCATGTGGGGACAGGGAAAGGGGGGTGTGATGAGGGGTATGAATCTCCCCACGCCGAGGGAAGGCAAAGAATGTGCAGCTGGGGTCAGGTAGCCGCAGCTCCAGTCCAGACCCTGCCACTTACTGTGGGTGACCTTGAGCAAGTCATTTAACTGAGACTCAGTTTCCCCATCTATATAAGGAAGGTCATCACGCTTCCCCTTTAGGGTCCTTGCATAGATGACATAAACATTTTATGCAAATGACTTAACCTATGCAAATCTGGCAGAAATGATACAGTCAATACAGGTACTTATGTCTTGGTCATGATGGTAACAAAAGTACTTCCCTCCTAGTAGTAATTAAAATAGTCACATCCTGCTGCCCCTTTGCAGTCCACAAACCCATCTCTGACCATTGTTTCCTTCCTTCTGAGACCTGCCCAGCTGGCCAAGCTGGGCTGGGAATGTGGATCAGAGCAGTGGGCAACAGCAGGGGTCCAGGGGCGGCACTTCAGAGAGATCCATTGTCATCACTGGTCTCAGTCCACGGAGGGGCGGCCGCCCGACGTGGGTGATGATGGGCTGGGAAAGTGGATCAGTGTGTGAGCCGCGGGGGCCGAGACCGGAGACCGGAACTGGTAACCATGGCGCTCGGCTTCCGTGGCGCATCTCTGCAGGCAGACCCCCACCCCCGCCCCCGAGCACCATAGTCCCACCCACACCCCTTCCCCGATCTTCCTCAGCTCCACACAGCCCCCAGGAGCCTCATGCTCTCCCCTTTAAAGTTCAAGGCCCCAGCTCCCTCTGGCGGAAAGGAGCCTCTGACCTTTTGGCTCAGCAGGTATGAGGCCGACTTTGAATAAGGTCTGAGAAAGCCTCCCACCTGCCTCTGGGGAGGAGGCCAGGACGGGGTGGGAAGAGGGACCTGGGGTCTTTGTCTGGACCTGGGCTGCCCAGTGCCCCACTGGCTGCAGCGGCTAGAATGTCGATCGCTCCCCAGCCGCCTGCCACCCCCTCCCAGCCCCGAGAAGGCAGCAGATCCATCGTTTTGTCTTTCCTGGTTCTGTCGATGTCTCCTTCGGGGAGCTCGCTCATTGACGGCTCCAGAAAGCAGCACGGAGCAGAGAGGCCAGAACTAAAACGGCCGCGCAGAGGGACCCCTGCGGACCCCCACTTTCCAGAGGCATACGGATCAGAAGGCAGAAAACGCTGCGTCTGTTCTGCAGACGTCGATGGTTTTATTCATCGTCCTCCGCCAGGCTCTCGCCCCCGCCTTCTCCTCTTCTTTATCCGCGCTCCGCGCGATGCTGCCAAGAGCTCCTCTCATCTGTTCTGCACAGAGGCCTGGGGATGAAAGGGCTGACAGGTGTCTCGTTGCCAGTCGCCAGGCACGGGGGCGTTGTAAGCAAGCTGCAGACCCGCAGCTCTCGGGCTCTGCCCGCAAAGGGGCGAGAGGAGCCAGGGCAGCAGCCGGAAGGCGTGGGGCCGCCCTGCGGGCCCCGGAGGGCTCCACCTCCCCTGGAGCGCGCAGGCCCGGGACGGGGTCGGCACCGCAGCATCACTCGGGGCGCAAGCTCCCAGACCTCGGTGGAGAAAACGCGGCCCCGACTCCTCCCTTCCTCCCAGGGTGAGTGGGCATCAGGCTCGATGGTGGGTGTGAACTCCCCACGGAGGAGCTCCCCGCCTCCCACACAGTCCCTCGGGCTCAGCCCCACCCGGCGTGGTGCACGCAACACCTCTTTTTTCCCTTCTTCTTCTCCTTCCCTTTCCACCCGGAGCCCTGAGCCCTCTGTCCCCACGTCTGTCCCACCTCTCCTCTTAGAGGATGGACGCACAGTCTGAGGATGCCGCAGTTCCCAGCGCCGTCTGCCTGTCACTCACCCGTCCTCTCCGGGGAGCATTTTCCTTGACTGCAGAGCTGGTCACGGAGCCCTGCACCCCTCACCGCGTCCTCGACTCCACCCCGAGGTGGGGAATGCGCTAATGCCTGCACTGGACTGAAAAAATGGCTGGCCTGGGGAGACGTTGGGTGTACAGCCTCTGTGTTTTTGAAACCATGCCCCCCACCCCTCCGCCAGCAGATTCAGGGGCTGGTTACCTCCAGTCTCCTGCCGGCCTGGGCCTCCACCCTAACCACTCTCTCGGGTCTGATCCACTCACCTGGAGCTGCTCGGCACAATGCGGGAGGAGGGGGTCCCAGCACCCCGCCCCCCATCCTCCAGGAGAGGAGTCCTGTGTGTCGGTGGAGACACAGCTCAAATACGTTTTTCCCTTCCGTGTCCTGGACTGGAAAGCCACATTTGTGCACGGATGTGCGCTTTTCTTACCACGTGGGCGTGCCTGTGCAATCCACACGACCAGGCCCACACGCTCCCGCCTCAGGTCCGTGTACTTGCCTGTGTGTGACACGCACACCTTGAGAGCAGGCATGTGCCCATGCGTGTGTTCACAGGGGCCCAGGCAGCCCCGTGTACAGGCCTGTGGGCCACGCCGGCGTGTGAGCGCGGACGTGCCCACAGGTGCTCCGGCCTCTTCGGCACGTGAGGAGCGAGACAGCCCCCTTGTTACCATGTCATCTTATTAAACACGCGGCATGTTAATAGCGCCTACGAAGTCGGTTATGAAAAGCTCTTTATTAAAAATAATAAGAAATGGCCCTTGTGTTCCACAACTTCTGAGCCGCGTTCGGCCGCTCAGGCTGGCAGGTTATTAAAGTGGGATCAAGCATCTTTAACGTGCCTTCTGCGGCAGCTGCTTGGTGGATCTGCCTCATTACCGGCTGGCTGGCCCCAGCTGCGTCGGTCTCCGCCGCTCGGCCCCTCAGACACGGGGCCAGGGGACTGGGAGGAGGCTGGCGGGGAGGCAAAGGCTCCGTCCCGCGGTCCGACCTCCCAGGGCTGCTCGCCGGGTGATGACATGGCCCCCTGTACCGACCGGCCCCCTGGACCCGGCAGGTGAGGGTGGGGCTCGCAGGCAGGCTGCTGTCCCAGAAGAAGTACCTGAATCCCAAGTGATGCTCCCTTCCGGAGCATCTCCTCCCTCCTCTGTGGGTCTGAAATGACCACATCCATCCCGTCTGTCATTAACCTCTTGATCCAGGAGACAGCAGCTCCCAGGGCAAAGGTGAGCCCAGACCGTGGGGACGAGGATCCGTCCAGCGCTTCTCAAGCTTGGCTGCGGACACGAACCCCCTGGGACCTT